CCACTTTCAGTTTCTCACATCACAGAAACAATGCCATATTTACATATGTGCGTCCAGTTTATCTCACTTCAGAGTATGGTCGCAAGGTCCATCCATTCAGTGAGAAGTGTTTCAAGCTCATCCTTCTTTAAGGCAAAGTGCTACTCCACTGTATGAAAAAAACACATCTTCTTTATCCATTCATCGGTGGATGGGCATTTGGGCTGTTTCCAAGATTTAGCTATTACAACTGTATCACTATAAACATAGGTTATAAATATCACTGTGGTATAATGCTTTCAATTCTTTCAGGAAGATACCAAGAAGGGGAATAGCTGGGTTAAATGAACCTCTAGTTTTAGTTTTTTGAAGAATCTCCACACTGATTTCCACAGTGGTTGCACCAGTCTGCATTCCCACCAACAGTAGAGAAGGGTTCCTTTTTCCCCAAAGCCTCGCTAGCATTTGTAATTAATTGATTTTCTTAATAATAGCTATCTTTCTGGAGTGAGATGAATCTCAGCATTGTTTTAATTTGCATATCTGGAATGATCAGTGATGTAGAACTTTTTTTCAAATATTTATTTGCTATTTCTACTTCTTCCTCTGAGAAGTGCCTATTCATTTCAGATGCCTGTTTTCAGATTGGGTTTTTAAATTTGGGGGGTCTGATTTTTCTAGTCGTTATATATTCCAGTATTTATCCTTTGTCTGAGAAACAGCTTGCAATTTTTTTCCCACTCTGTGGGCTGCCTCTTCACTCCACTGGTGGTTTCTTTTGCTGTGTAAAAGTTTTGTAATAAGCTGAGATCCCAGTTATTGATTCTTCGTGTTATTTCCTGTGGTCAGGTTTTTGTTCATAAAGTCTTTGCCTACACCAATGTCTTCAAGAGTTCTACTTATACTCTCTTCAAGCAGATTTAGATTTAGATTTAGATCACCCATACCCACTTCAAGAACCTGTATTTTAATAAGATGGAAAACAGAAGAAATTGACAGATTCTAGATACATATGAATTACCAAAGCTGAATCAAGAAGATATAAAATTTCTAAAAAAACTAGTATCAGTCAATGAAATTGAGGATGTAATTAAAAATCTACCAAGATAAGCCCAGGCCCTGATGGATGCACTACTGAATTCTACAAGAAATTTAGAGAAGACCTAATGTTGTTACTTTTCAAACTCTTTAATGAAATTGAATGGAAAGCAGTACTCCCAAATTCGTTGCTGAAAGCCATCATTAACTGATACCAAAATCAGAGGATTCAATCAAAAAAGAGAATGACAGGCCAATCTCCCTAATGACCACAAACACAAAAATCCTCAATAAGATACTGCCAAACAGAATGCGGCAAGTAATCTGCAAGATTATACAGCATGACCAAGTAGGATTCATCCCAGGGATGCGGGAATGGTTCAACATACACAAATCAATAAATACAATACACCATAATAACAGAGTCAAGGACAAAAACCATACGATCATCTCAATAGATGGAGAAAAAGTGCTTGACATAGCCCAACACCCATTCATGATTTTTTTAAAAAACCTACAGAAAATTGGAATAGATAGTCTTTATCTCAATCTACTAAAACCCATCTATGACAAACCAACAGCCAACATCATACTAAATGGACAAAAACTGAAAGCTTTCATGCTAAAATCAAGAACAAGACAAGGATGTCCACTGCCACCACTCTTATTCAATATAGTTCTGGAAACATTAGACAAAAGAAAGAAATAAAAGGAATAAGGATAGGAAAGGAAGAAGTTAAATTATCATTATTCATGGATGACATGATACTCTACACAGAAGACCCCAAAAACTCCAGCAAAAGACTTCTATATTTAATAACCAAATTCAATAGCATAGCTGAATACAAAGTCAACAGTAAAAAAATCAATAGCATTCCTGTACACAAATAACAAACTCACTGAGAGAGAAATTAAGGAAAAAACACCTTTCACAATAGCATCAAAAAATATTAAATTCCTAAGAATCAGTCTAACAAAGGAAGTATAAGACCTTTACATGGAAAACTATAGTATTTTGAAAAAGGAGATCGAAGAGGAATCAAAATGAAGATATTCTTTATTCTTGGGTAAGAAAAACCAACATAGTGAAAATGACCATGCTTTCAAAATTGTTATATAGATGCAATGCAATCCCAATCAAAATATCAACATCATATCTCAAAGAATCAGAGAAAATAATCCTAAAATTCATTTGGAACCAGAAGAGACCTAGAATAGTAAAAGCAATTCTGGGCAACAAAGGCAAGGTAGGGGGCATCACAAACCCTGACTTGAAACTATACTACAGAGCTATCATGAAAAAAACAACATGGTATTAGCAAAAAAAAAAAAAAAAAAAAACAGACCCAAGGATCAATGGAACAGAATGGAAGATGTAGAAACAACACCAAACATACTCAGCCACCTCATCTTTGACCAAGGAGACTCTTTAATAAATGTTGCTGGGAAAACTGTCATCCCACATGCTGAAGATTAAAACTAGACCCGTATCTTTCACCATGTACTAAACTAAAATTGAAATTTTTATTTTTTATTAAGTTTATTGGTACTTGATATACACATTGATCACATTCATCATAGGGAATGATACATCTTAATTCTTCTTTTTTTCCCATTCCCCTCCCGTCCCTTTAATCCCTCCTATCCTCCTTATTTACAAGTTTTGTTTACATTTTTCCTTCTTTTCTAGTTCTTTTATTCTTTTCCCTTCCTTCCTTTCCCCCTCTCCCCTCCCATGTTCCCCTTACCATTTGAACATTTTCTTCCTATTTTATAATATCTATTATACATTGGTCCTTATTTGGTTTCTCACACCAGAGAAACAATGTGATTTTTACATGTGTGCATTCATTTATTTCACTTAAGAGTATGGTCTCAAAGTGCATCCACTTACCTAGAAATGTCTCAAGTTTGTCCTTCTTTATAGCTCAGTATGAAAAACAAAACATATCTTTTGTTCATAAAATCTGACTACACCTACATCTTCAAGAGTTCTACCTATTCTCTCTTCCAGCAGATGTAATGCTTCTGTTCTTATATTTAGATCTCTGACCACTTTTATTTTAGATTAGTGCATAGTGAGAGACATGGGTCTACTTTTAGTCTATGGCATGTGGAAAGCCATTTTCTCCAGCACATTAAAGATGCTATCTTTCTTCCAGTGAAGCTATTTGGCCCCTTTGTGGCAAATAAGGTGGCTGAGTGTATTTGGAGTTGTTTCTGCATCTTCTAATCCATTCCATTGATCCTTGGGTTGGTTTTTTTCGGGCTAAATTTTATTCAAGGACATACTGGCCATAGATATACTCTCATTTGCTGGATGATGAGATCTTTATCAATTGCAAAGTTCATACAGATTAAAGCTCAGCAAACTACAGTCTGAGAGCCAAATTCAGCCTGCCATCTGTCTTTCTAAATAAAGTTTTATTGCAACACAGCCATTCTCTTTCGCTGACATATTGTCTGTGACTAGTCTCATGCTATAACAGCAGTTTTGGATTGATGTAGCAGGAATTCTATGGCCTTCACATCCTAAAATTCTTACTATCTCACCCTTTTCTGAAAATTTTGCCAATTCCTGATTTAGAGTCTTGTTTAAAAAATCAATTGTAAACTTTTCTTTAAGGACCTGGATATTTCTAGTAAGGAAAAAAATAGTGTGTATCTGTCCCTATTCTAGGAAGATAATCCCAGGCCTGAGAGACAGAACTAGGCTAAGGTTAAGAACACAGATTCAAATCCCAGCTCTGCCTCTGAATAGTTGGGCTGATTACTTAACTCCCTGGGCCTCAGTTTCCTCATCTTTAAAACATGGGTCATAATAATATTTACTCCAAAGGCTTGTCATGAGAACTGAATGCATACCACTGCACATGGCCTGGTACACAGTGAAAACCCACACTGCCTCATACTCTTTTTGTCCATTTCAGATCCTAAACTGCACAGTCTCTGTGTGGTTTCCATTGCTCTTCTGGCTCTCAGACTCTGTGCTTCCCCGCGGAAATGAGACTGATGGTTAAGCCCTACATCAGACACCACTTGAACTTGAATCTATGCAGCATAGGGAAAGACATGAGATGTGTAGCCAATTTCTCCTTCTGCAAAATGGGAGGACTACCCAAGACCTCCAATCTCAGTGGACCATTTTTACATGTCTCTGGTGCAACCCTAAGTAAGATCCATTTAGCCACTGTCACTACAGAAGGAAGCGGGGTTGGGAACACATAGTCCCAGAGCTGGTTCAGTCATCAGTTACACAGAATGTAGCTCCCATCACTAGTGAGGCACTTTGTGAACTGGAAAGCAGTATAAATCTGTCCATAATGAGATGGTAAGTTAATTAGGAGAGGAGTAAGTTAATAAAATAGGTAGTGTCTTTTCAATGGCTGCCACAGGAAATGAAACTGTTCCTTTCCCTATCTCCTGTCTTTACACCAGAAACCCCATTCTCTTCTATAGATCCCTTTCTTCTAGTCCTTTGGAAAGGTGGACGCAGGAAAAGATAATGCACAGGTTGGCAATGATGGGCTGTGCACCGCCGAGGGCAGAGAAATCAGGACCATCTGTGCAGTCCTGACCAGGAGGACCCCCAAGGGCACAATGAGGACGCTAGTCCTTACCCAGAAGATGCGGCGATCATAGACAGTTAGTTCCAGGACAGGAAAATGAGATGAGAGCGGTAGGGACCGCAAAGTAAACCAGAGCAGAGCACAGAAGTGACTGGAGAGACAAAACCGCACCCCAGCAGCACCCACATTGTGGCCGGAAGATGAGTCACCAGTGCCCCTCCTGGGCTTTGTGGTTCTGAGTGGATTTAGCACCCAAACAATTCTGCTTTGAAGAATAATTCTCTTTCTCAAACCTTGCTCATTCACTTCTATTTTTAAGAGCAGAGATTAGTAAAACTTCTAAGCCATTAAAGCTGTATCCATGCATTTTTGGTTTCATCACTTCCCATCCTTCCCCTCTGATGTCTTACTCACTGAGGAGAGAGAGGCAGAAGGCCGTGTGTCTTCAGTCATGAATCACACTCAACTCCACAGGCACACGGGCACTCCAGCCCCGCTCTCAGACACCAATGCCTGAAAAAGGAAAGGAGAGAGAGGTCCGTTAAGTCATTTTAAAAGACAGTGTGTCCCTTGGTTGTCAACTCTAGAAAGTTCCCATCAGTGCTGGCCTTTAGTGACGCAGGACTTGAAGCAGAGTGACATAGGACAGCATGGTGATCTCCACTGTGAGAGCACTAAAGTACCATCACACACACACACACACACCATGGGCTTCTTTCATCAGAAAAAGAGAAACAGATATTTTTTTTTCTTTTTAATTCTTTTATTGGTACATTTTAGGTATGCAATACGTATACATTTATCATTGGGTGCTTGTACCTGAACATGATGTATCTTGGTTCTTATGTTTTCCCCATTACCTGCGTGCCCTTCAGCCCCTCTGCCCTTCCCTATTTACACAGACTTCATTTCCATTTCTTTTTCCTTTCTCATAATTTTTTCCTTTCCCTTCTTCCCTTCCCACTTCCCCTCCCACCACCCCTACACCTTTGGACATTTTCCTATTTCAAATTACCAATTATTCATTTTAATCATTATTTACACTTTCAGTTTCTCACCGTATAGAAACTATTCAGGATTTGCACATGTGTCCTATTTATTTCACTTAAGAGGATGGCCTCAATATGCATCCATTTAGCTATAAATGTCTCTAGTTTCTCATTCTTTATGGCTGAGTAGTACTCCATTTTATAAAAAAAACCACATCGTCTTTATCCAGTTTTCAGTTGATGGGCACTTGGGCTGTTTCCAAGCTTTAGCTATTACAAACTGTGCCACTATAAACATGGGTGCACATATATCACTGTGGTATGATTCTTTTAATTCTTTGGGGAAGATCCCCAGCAGGGGAATAGCTGGGTCAAAATGGGACCTCTAGTCCTAGTCCTTTGAGGTATCTCCATACTGATTTCCACAGTGGTTGCACCAGTCTGCACTCCCACCAACAATGGAGCAGGGTTCCTTTTTCCCCACATCCCCACCAGCATTTCTTATTGGTTGATTTCTTGATAGCAGCCATTCTTTCTAGGGTGAGGTGGAATCGCAATGTTGGAGAAACAAATATTTAATGCTGTTCAACGTATGAAAACAAAGGATCCTAAAGGATAACTATTTCAAACCCAGTGTAATTACATTAAGCAGTCTAAAAATAAAAATATAGTCATTTTATGACAGCTCCTTCATTCTACGTTTTTAGCCTATCTAGTGCCCAAAGTAATGTATTTCATAAAAGAAATAAAGGCAGAAGGAATAGGGTAAGCTGTACCTGAACTTGAGATTTTATTTTTTACTTACATATAGTTTGTTTGTTGCACAGTTGTGAGACTTCATAGGGCAAAAGAATCCTATATCCTAAAAATAACTTATTTCACCAAAATGAATTCAATTCAATTCCATCTAATATATAAAAATCTGGAAAACTTGATATTGTAATGGGATGAAAAGAATCTGGTGAGACCCCAGCCTCCCGAGAAACATTTCTGCCAGCACCTGAAGAAATGGGGGATACCCCACTTACTGACCATACAGGAAACCTGTTCCTTATTAGGGTTAGGGCCTAAATATCAAGGGCCCCCCAAAGACTCATGTATTGAGGGTTTGATTCCCCACGTACCAAGGTTCAGAGATGTGGTCCAGAAAGGCACCTGGGTCATGAGGGCTCTAACTCCACTGGTGGATTAATCCACTGATGAGTTCATACCTGCATGGGCTATGAGGAGTGGGATCCAGTTAGAGGAGGTGGATCACTGGGAACATGACTTTGAAAGGAATATCTTGTCCTCAGCCCCTCTTCTCTCTCTGAATGGCCTCCTGTCCTTCTCTCCTTCCCTCTCCCTCCCTCTCTCTCTCTCTCTCTCTCTCTCTCTCTCTCTCTCTCTCTCTCTCTCTCCCCCATTTACCACAAGGTGCCACACCCTTGTACTACCACATTCTGCCTCACCTTAGGCCCACATCAATGGAACCAGCCAACCATGGACTGAACCCTCCAAACCCATGAGCTAAAATAAACGTATGCTCCTAAAGTTATTCATATCAGGTACTTTGTCATAGCAACGGAAAGCTAACACACTTGTGAATCATGCCATTACTCTAAGTACTCTCCTTCTGGGCCATGATCTTCCTGTTCTCTCAATTCGCCTAGCTTCTATCTTTCATCTCTTCCCAGCTGGCAGCTCTGGATGCTGTGCATGAGAAGCAAGCTGCCCTGGGCCATCCCCACCCACACACCTGGGGAGCAGCTGAGAATGGTGGAGGCAAAATTGGAAAAGAACTTCCCAGCATGTTCTGGCTGCTCAGTGAGCCTCATATGGACACTCAGCAATGATAAAATGGTCACTGGCCTCCAGAAAATAACCTGAATTATAACAGCTGGAAATGTATAACATTCTATACCTATTGAAATGCCCTTTTAGAAGTCCTGGTTTCAGAGGCCAGAGAGCAATGAAAATACGGCAGTCCTTGGGAAGCAGGAGGCAGCAAATTTGGAACTGCCCAACACAAAGGCACCCGCACAGCCAGGTGTGCTCACGCTGTGCAGAATCACCAGCCCTAAGGTCCCAGTGAAGTCTTGGAAGCTTGTGACATCACTCCTTGGAAAGCACAAAGGCAGATGCAAATCCTTGAGGCCAAAAGAGGAATCGAGCTCTCCCTAAGGTAAGGAGGCACATTCAGTCCAGAAAATTCCCCAAAGCAGCCAATTTCTTTTTCATGACACCAGCAATTTCTCCTTTGGGTGTGGCAAGGAAATATGTTCATTGGGATTTCTTTATTGAGCAGCATGTTTGAATACACAAATGTTCTCTCTTGAGCCCTAAAATATGTTTTATAACAATTATGGCTAAAATTTACTTCTGTTTACTTAGATCATAATCAAAATTCAGTACAGGGTTGGATGGTACCACTGGGTCCTGCCCTGACAATGTCTGTAAGCTCAGAATTAAATTAAAAACAGAGCTCGTGGGTCTCCTGTCCCCCAGCCCACTACCTAGTAAGGTCACTCCTGAGCTGTGGGGGCTCTCAGTGGACATCACAGCTGAAACTGGGACAAGGGACATTCCCTTAACTAGCAAAGGAGACAGGGCTGAGGACACTGCAAGAATTCAGAATTGGTGACACAAACAGGAAGCAAACATCCCTGCTGAATCCAGGCAAGGACCGTGCAGAGCAGAGACAGACAGCTGGGCAATCCTGGCTCGACCTTCAGCCTTCAAAAGCCACCCCAGTCTTGGAAAAGCCAGCTCTTAAGTGACTCAGCTCAGTGGCTTGGAGAAACCAAGACAGCTTCAGAACTTGAAGTGTAAATAGGAAGTGGGTCCCAGCAGCAGGATTCGGGGCACATTCCCTAAAGGGTTCTCACTGCACCTGTGTTCACACCAACCGTGGAAAAGATATTTAACCAGCTTGGTGCATGAGGGCCATGAGTGAGCATCGGATTTTCTGCCCCTGAGGCTCTGGGGATGGAGTGAGCCCCATTCCACCACCTGTGCACCTGTGCTGGGTGGGGGGGCACAGAAACCACAGCAGAATAGCAGAGACCCGGAGTGAACTAAGCTGAAGAAACAGAAGATGACCAGCTCTGGCCGGGCAGCTGAGCTCGCCTATCCTTCCCCAGTGAGACCACAATCCTGCCACTGTATGCGCACGTCGTGTGTCACTGGGGAAGTCAGAAGGTACAGAAACTAAGAAGCTCCAGAGAGGCTCGCCCACAGGTTCTATAATGCATATGCTTCCCTACGTGGTGCCCCTCCATATTACCCTCATTCTTTTCTCTTGCAGCTTACTATTAAACTTGGTACAAAGCACCTCCAAAGCCCTCTGTGTCGCAATCCTCAATTCATGTTCCACTCTGGGAGAAAAATAGACTGTCATTGTGAACATGTATGTGCAGAACGAACATTACAGAGCTTTTTGATTTCCAAACAATCAACCTTTCCTGGACGTTTACCTCTATACTCACAGTCTTAGGCCCTTAGAATCATCTTCAAATGGAAATACAGAAGTAAAACTTAAATATCTACTGCCCACTGACACATGGCTTTCTGCTACAACATGCAACCTTCTTTCTCCCTGCCTGTGCTACACAGAATGACCTCAGATGTGGATTTGATCATTCTTTTTTTTTGTTTTTTTGTGGGGTTTTTTTGTATCAGGGATTGAATTCAGGACCTTTCGAGGCAGGCGACGAAACCACTGAGCTAAATCCCTGGCCCTGGATTTGATCATTCTTGTGGACACCAGAGGTCACCTGAGCAGCCTTTATCCTAAACGTGCCTGAAAGAAATTAACATTTCAGGCCAAGAGCTCAACTTAGAGATCATTTAACAGTAAAATTGCACAAGAAATATAATGACAATGGACAGGCCTGGCATCCTAAAGTCCAGTAAAGTGAGAGAAAGAAATCCACGGATACAAGTTCAGAAAATCAATTAACTACCAGGTCAGGGTTTCCCAACTTCCAAGAATTTTACCAGTGGCCATGGAGTTTAACGGACAGACATTTCATCATGGGGCCACTGGACAGAGGACTACCATGCACAGTACTTAGTTGTGGCCATGCATATTAGGTTGTGAGAACATAAAGCAAAAGCTGATTACGCTCTCACTTGCCCCGACAAGATAATGTTTGATTGTTCTGCTATTCAGTATAGTAAATACTATGAAATTGGAGTGAAGAGGGATTATTTCCAAGTGGACAGTGAGGAAAGTTTTTGAAAATGAAAGCAACATGTGATGTGAACTTGAATAGGATATGGAGGAGTATCAAAGGAGAAGTATGTTTGAGTAGACACATTACAGTCAAGTAAATGGCAGACTAGGCAGAAACACCTGGACTGAGTATGCTGAGCTGCAAAGTGGGGATCTAGTATTGTCCCCAGGACTGGGCAAATCGACAGAAGCCCCTCCATGGGGCCAGCTGGGATAGGAGTTTGCAGCGATGCACAGGGCACGTGAAAGGAAGCAATTCTGCTAAAGTGGAAAATTAGGTCTCATGAGCAGCAAGAGGCACACACAGA